CCCCCCCCTCCCCACCTAAGGTTTGATAAAATATTTGCTTTAAAGTAAGTAAAAATGAAGTTAAAATTCTTGTTATAATCTTAGTAACAGAATAACAGCGGAATTTCAAAATTCGAAGCGAAAATATTCACAATTCGTTTTTTCGCAACTTTATTATTTAACAAAGTTAAAACAGTTAATGCTGAAAAGAGTGTGAGGACTGGATTCATTAATTAAAAATAAGCAAGAAGGTTATTATTGACAGAGTTGAGATTTAAAGAGTCATTGTTTTAAGTTTATTAGAGAAAGGAGTTTTCTCACAAACCCCTATTCAAACCTATCTTTAGAACCCTATTTCCCAAACCTTTGTTATTTCAAACTTGTTGTCCTGATAGAATTCATAGTTTGAAATATTAAAGCCGGGTAAGAAAATCAGAGTTTGCGGCAAGAGCTCAGCTCTTTTAAATTGTTGATTTAAATCATAAACAAAGGAATTGAGTTCTTGCCACAAACTCTGATTATTTGATCCCTTTATCTTTGCAACCAGATAGTTTTAACCTTTAATATTTCAAACTTTGCCAATATACAGGGATTAGAAAAGTCAAATTTAAAAATTTGCAGTCATAACCAGAAAGACCCGGAATTAATGGACAGTTTATCAGACGACTTTACATATATATCTCTGGTAATTTTAAACGCACAATAAAGGCAGACCACAGTTTTGAATGGGCAGGGCTACGGCTATTTTGTTAATATCGCTTCATTTATCATATTTGTAAAATTATATTGTATAGTCGTCTGATTAAACATATACCAATTCCGAGTTTTTCTTATTATGACTGCATTTATGATTTCATTTTGTTTAAAATGCCATGATATTTCTAAAAGTTTGAAGCTTTTGTTTCTTCTAACCTTTTAAAGGTATAAAAGACAAACGTAAATGTAAATTGTGCAAGGGGGTATGTGGAGGTAAAATTTAAGGTTTAAATGTTGTCTTCTTCTCTAAAACAGCGATTTTTAAAAGAATAAACATTAATAACCAACAAAATTTAACTGCGATTTAGTCCAGTCAGCAAACTTTTCTGGTAGTACTCTTTTACCCTGGACAAAATAGTTTTTTTGATTTACATTTTTAATCCTGTAATATCTTGTATATGCAAGGACCCTCCCCTGGACCCCCCCCCTTGGTTGCTGTTGTATATAAAATATATAAATAATTGAGTCTAGTTAGAGTGTAGTATACATCCTTTATTTCAATATTATACAATTTAAACTATCCACAAACTCGAATAAATAAAAACAACAAAAGTTTGGATTTTCTTTTCATTTTTTCTTTACAATATTATTATAAATAAACAAAAATGTTCGATCAGAAAGATAAATAATGTGAAATGAATACCAAGACCAATAGCAATAGCAATAGCAATAGTAATACCAATACCAATACCAATACCAATACCAATACCTATACCAATACCAATACCAATACCAATACCAATACCAATACCAATACCAATACCAATACCAATACCAATACCAATACCAATACTATACCAATACCAATACCAATACCAATACCAATACCAATACCAATACCAATACCAATACCAATACCAATACCAATACCAATACCAATACCAATACCAATACCAATACCAATACCAATACCAATACCAATACCTATTCCATTACAAAAACCATTGTCAATACCAAAACCAATACCAATACCTATACCAAATAAAATATTCTAGAGCTGATTTTATAACTGACACTGAGCCTGCGTATCTTCATGTGTCTGGAGTACAGATTCAGGATACAGGGATATACAGGTCAGATTTTATTATTAAACAAATCTTTATACATTGGGATTCATAAAACTATGGAATAGTTACTGTTAACATCAAGTTGATCAAACACAGCAAATTTACTATGTATACTGTATTCAGAACCAATGTCGTCTTCCTAGTTCATATTCCAGAGTTTTATGGTTCACACTGTCTGTAGGTTTATGTTTTCCCTGTACGTTTGATTCTTTTACCTTTCCCTTGTTTTCTCCTTTTCTCTTGTGCTTACATTTGTTGTTTTTTTTGTCTTTTATTTTTCTTTATGTTTTGATCCTCTTTTTTGCCTCCCCTTTATTTTTGTTTTCTTGTATTTTTCTTGTGTTCCCATTTTTTCTCTTCACTTTCTCTAATTCTGGTGTTTCTTACTTTGTTTTTTCTTTTGCGGATTTTTTCGTTCATTCATCTTTTCTTTTTTTTGCTGTTATTCATTGGAATTTTTTTTTCAGAATCGTTTGAAGATTGAAATACACAATCGCGATCGATAGAAAACGCGACAAAAAAATCAAAACCCTGTCTAGATTTTTTTTTAAATAATAAGAGAATAAAACTAATTGTATTATAGTACACTCTGTATAAACAATCCATATAATTATTTTCCAGAAATATTAGAATTACTGTTTTCTTTGGTTCTATTTATATTTTCATTTGATTTAAATACTGCTAAATTTGTTTGTTGAGTTGTTTACCAAGATTAATTGTTTGTTTGTTTGGGGTAAACTTGCGAAAAGTTTGGAAAGTGATTTGATGATATTCGGTTCAGAATTCTGCTGAATTTGACAGGAATAGGATAACTTTCAGGGGATTAAACTTTATTAGTCTTATTATTGATTGATTGAGAATCATGTTGTGTTATTAGTGCAGGTAAAAACATTACAGATTTAGTTTTCTCTTGAAGAAATAAACTAAAATTATTTAATTAAACCATTTTAGATTTTGTCTTTTCTCTTCTAGAAATGTATTAACAATTATTAAACTTAAATTTTCTAAATCATTTCTTTAAATCCTGATGGTGAACATAAACATGATTTCTTTTTGTACTTTTAGATCTATGTTTATATGCAAAGATACTTTATTATTCTAAGCAATATTTGCTAACGTTAGAATTTAAAAGATGAAAGGCCTACTATAGCTACTGTAGGATATATGTGATTAAATATTAAACTCAAATAGAACCAAATAAAAATTATACAAAAAGTTAATAATAACCAATCAGTCATATTTAAAATGTCAATAATTTTAACCATATACGTTTCTTTTAACAATCATGGGAAAAAACTAAAAAATTAGGTTTTAGAAAAAAAACATGTTTGAAAGTGACTTTAGGCATAACTTTTATTGACCTTTTAAATTTAAAGGGACTGTAGGCATAACTTTAATTGACCTTTTAAATTTAAAGGGACTGTAGGCATAACTTTTTTTGACCTTTTAAATTTAAAGGGACTGTATAACTTTAATTGACCTTTTAAATTTAAAGGAACTGTAGGCATAACTTTTATTGACCTTTTAAATTTAAAGGGACTGTAGGCATAACTTTAATTGACCTTTTAAATTTAAAGGGACTCTAGGCATAACTTTTATTGACCTTTTAAATTTAAAGGGACTCTAGGCATACCTTTAATTGACCTTTTAAATTTAAAGGGACTGTAAGCATAACTTTAATTGACCTTTTAAATTCAAAGGGACTGTAAGCATAACTTTAATTGACCTTTTAAATTTAAAGGGACTGTAGGCATAACTTTTATTGACCTTTTGAATTTAAAGGGACTGTAGGCATAACTTTTATTGACCTTTTAGATTTAAAGGGACTGTAGGCATAACTTTAATTGACCTTTTAAATTTAAAGGGACTGTAGGCATAACTTTAATTGACCTTTTAAATTTAAAGGAACTCTAGGCATAACTTTTATTGACCTTTTAAATTTAAAGGAACTCTAGGCATTACTTTAATTGACCCTTCATGGAAAGATCGCAATGCTCGAATCACAACGGTACCCTTAAAAGCTTTGATTGATCAAGTATGAATCAGATATCCATGTTTGTGTTTATTTAAACTATTTTTTTTTTCATTAAAGGGTTCCCTGTAAAAGTGACTTACGCACTTCTCATACGAAGCAATAGAAAAAATTATCAAAAATAACAACTTTTCGAGCCTGAAAAACTACGATGTCTAAAGGTTTCAAGGGTACCTTTGTGCGTCAGAGAGAAATTACCTTTACGGTTTTCTCTGATCAGTAATATGGAAGAAAGGGTCGGTTATTTAGCATAAAAAGTGGTTAATTCTAATAATTTCCCAGAATAGAATCTTAAACAGATATGGCCGGCCACTTAACCTTAGTAGAGAACCCAACAATCGAAAATAATAATGTTTTAAAAGAATTAAATACAAATATAGTCTTTAATTATGACACTATAATCTCAGTAAAAGTAAATATTTCCATTTAATTATAGCGTCGATTCATAACTCTGAATGGAGAAAGATAGATGTTACCACAATATTGGTTCAGAATTGACAACAAACACATGACTGAACCGTGATTGGATCATGCGCTAATGAACTCAGGAGTGATGATGAGCCAACAAAGCTATAAAGTGTGCCGTTGTAAATCAGACATGCCACTCTATAAATAAAGAGCCATTTATAATTACGTCTACACTACTTTAAAGCGTGACCGTGCAGAACACTTTTTCTAATTAAAAATTGATTAAAAATTGATGCTTTTTGTCAAGAATTTTAACCGTTTATTGTAAAACTTTCAGACAAAACTTTTAACTTTTCTATCGGCTTTATTTTTGGCAAGAATTTTCCAATTTTGCTTTGACCTCACTTCTAAAATAATTTTGTAACTTTTTTGCTTGTCACGACAATATCCCATTCTTTCTTTAAAGGGATTGTTCAAATGTTTGGATAATGTGCGAGGTAGCAATTATCAAACAGAAGATTTAAAATTAAAGCCTCGAGGGATTGTAAACGTATTTTTAAGTCGCCCTCGATTAGAAGAGTCGCATTTTCAATTAACAACAATTACCCTTGAAAAGCTTTGCCAGATCAAGTATGGATTAAATAATCACGTTTTTGTTAATGAGAAAAATTTTTTTTATTTGTGGGTTTTCTACAAAATTGACTCGCGCATTTCTTTCTTCAGAAACAACTGAGAAATTGTGAGAACTCCACATTTTTAAGCCAGATAAACAACGTTATCCTTGCATGCCCCTATTATAAAATTTAGGATTACTTAAACATTACGACGATGGTTTCTGAATCACATTGTTGAAACCTCCTTTAATCTGATTTACAGAAGCTGTTTTCGAATAAAATTAGTTTTCTTTCAATTATCTTCTCATTGAAAATATTTTGTTTACATTTTTATTCCTAGTAAATATTTATTGTTATTTTAAATATTTTACTTTTTTCTGATTAGCAATTCATGTTTTAGGTGTCGGGTTGACTTTAAGCATGCTCAGACTAGGAACCGTATCCTACAGCTTAGTTTAGTAGAAGATCCATCCAGTCTTACCATATACCATGATTCTCAGGTATTATTCCTCCTACCCTCTCAAGGAATTGAACACTCGCCTCAAATTCTTATTTATTTTCAAACCGTTAAATCTTTGCAATGTGAAGTTTTAGACTTTTAATGTTTTTAACTACGAATTTTGTTAATTCACATAAATAAGTTAATTAAATATCTAAATGTGAAAGGTTACACCATCAGGTTGTAAATTTTTAGTTTGAGGTAGGCATTGGGCTTCTTTTCAAACTATTTGTCAGTTCTATACAGAATATGTAGTTTTATTCAATTATATTGATGGATTCACCTTCCCTTAACAAAAAATTAACAATTACTTTAGATATGGCAATTTCTGGGCAAAGCGCTCATGGTTAGGACAGACATTGGGGCCCGAGCGCTGTAGCTGCGTTTACGTTTACAAATTGTCATTGCAGGGGGGGGGGGGGACTTGAGAAATTTTCATGAGACACAAAGATTACAGAAATAACCAGTTATAGAATCTTCTAAATAATTCATGCTCTCATTCAATAATCTAAGAACGGAAAAGGTTTCTCAATTTTGAAGAAAAGTAAAAGTTTAAAGTTAGAACCAGATAGATCCGAATTTTTTTAACTATTGCTTATTTTCTTCTACTTTGATTTCCCTAAAAACTGGTAAGCATGCAACTAACAAACTTAAACCTGCCAATAATATCATGTTAATAGTTGTTCATAAAGTTTTGGGAGAACTAATAATTAGAAATAGGAAAGAAAAAAGTCATCATTCAGAATAAAAAAGAACAAAAACGTTGGTACTGAAAACCAAAAGAAAAGTTGAGAGTAATAACTTCAAAGTAATTCGTCAAAGAAGGAAGGATAAAAGTAAATAGAAAAAAAACAGTAGGGGGGGGGGGGAGGGTGAGTTATGGAAATTTGGACACTCACTTCAGATTTTAATTATACCAGAAAATAATTATATATGGACTCACTTCGAGTCATTGGATTTAAACATTTTATAGATCTTTGGAAATCCCTTAAGAAGAATTCGTACAGTTTTATGTTTTTCTTCCAAAAATGTAGGTTTTAGAAATCTTGCCTATGTATCAGGATATCTAAATTCGCTGGATCAAGGGCTTTATAAAATGTGTTGGTTAGATTTGGGAAAATTTTTGTTTTTCGCTTTTCTTGCTAAATAACTGGATTTCGCAATAAATATTTGCACTTTTGCAAACTAGCAACAAAAAAGGCATATTATTGAAAATAAGTCCGGTCAAGGGCTTTACAAAAAGTATAAATTATTTTGAAAATTAGTATCATATATGGACAGAGGAGTGGTCAGTAGCAATAAGGTCAAGGTATAAGTAAAAACACGATAGAAAAATTTATAGATTAAAGAAAAAAAGAAAAAAAGTAAGAACAAACTTTTATATTTTAAACAATTTATTAAAAATATGAATTTAAACTTTGAAAATCTTAAAGAAGGCCCAACAAGTTTGCATTTGGTGGAATTTAATTAAATTTTTGAAAACAATAAAAAAGACAGATATAGTCCTATTTGCACAGAATTGGTTTATTGGTAAAAAAAAGAAAGGAATATAAAATTTGAATGCAAAATGTATTCTTGAAAAGGAAATTCACAAAATAACTTAATCATAGATGTATGACTGTTATAAGATCGTCTATTTTAAGAATTATAGAAGAAATGATAAAGTTATGTCTGCTAGTGTATATTGTAGAGTAAACTGTTATGATGTGTCTGAAATGATAAAGTTATGTCTGCTAGTGTATATTGTAGAGTAAACTGTTATGATGTGTCTGAAATGATAAAGTTATGTCTGCTAGTGTATATTGTAGAGTAAACTGTTATGATGTGTCTGAAATGATAAAGTTATGTCTGCTAGTGTATATTGTAGAGTAAACTGTTATGATGTGTNTCTAGGGAACATACTGTATTAATGTACTCTACTGCATATAATTTGTGAACATTTACATGATTTGTACACTTTGAACTCCCTTTCAGGCTGAAAGGGACTGAAAAAGTTCATACCGAGAGATACTTTTAATTCCTCTCTAATATATTCTATTCTCTATGAGTACAGCTTTCCTAGGAGGCACCTTAATCAAAACTCATTTATTAAGACGATGTCGAAATTTTTACTAAATTTTCATTTTTTTTGGGACACCCTGGTAAACCTCGATTAGATTGAGTGCATTTATCTAAAATATGCAAAATGAGGAAATTTGTCAAAAACACATTATTTTTTATCCTCAATATTTTTAAAAAGATTTGTTGTTAGAGTGTCGTTAATCTTGAGAACTGAATCCTTCTAATCCCTAAATTAAAGATATCCCTGCAGGATATGACCACTACAAGATATCGAAGAGGAATTAAATAAACCCGCAGATCTGTGTAAGATTGAGATTAATTCTTATCTAGTTTGAGTAAGCTCAAAGCAATTGAGTCTTTGTAACAAACTCTGATTTTCCAATCCCTTTATCTTTGCAACCCAACGTTGTAAACCTTAGACATTTCAAACAATGAATTATGTTGGATCAAATAATCTAAGTTTGAAATAACAAAGGTTTAAACCATTAGCTTACAAAGATATTAGGATTGGAAAATTTGAGTTTGTTACAAAGACTCAATTCCTTTTGACAAAATTTAGATATATGATCCAATGAAACAATTAAAATAAAGAAAAGTTGGCAATAATTATTTACAACTACTTTACAGGGAAGTTAGGGGAATTTTTATTTTCCAAGGGTTCCAAGACCAATTTTTTGCTTATTAAACATCCAAAGCGCAGCGAGGGATAATTTGTTGGCAAAATGTGTAGAGGGAAACCGCGGTTAAGTAAAATTTTCAGTTTCCCAAGAAAGTTGTTGTACACAATTTTATCGTCTTCTGAGATCAAAATGCGCGAATTTTTTCTCGAAAACTTTGCAGAGCGGGTCGTTCTTTTACTTAATTGTCCCAAGGAATGTAAAGTAACTTAACGTCCCTCTGTGGGGGGAATCATGGGTCGATATTGTTGGTCAGAGGCAGTAAAATTACAAAACGTTCTAATGATACATTTGACATCTCCATTACACATTAGAGATGGACGCGTCCGTTTTTTATGATTTAGTTTTTAAACAAAAACAATTCCCATCTCTAATTTCCATGCTACGTTCTCATTCAATATTTTGCTTTATTCATTATACCAATATTCAGTTGACAATGCCTTAAAAGAAAAAAATATATATTTTCTTTAAAGAAAATTGTGTTTAAAATATTGCGTTAAATCCTGGCTTGAGAGGTTTAAAATGAAGAATATACGTAAAAGTTATCTTTATGCAAATCTTCAGATTTATCATCACTTTCAAACATTTATTTTATCATAAAGTTTAGTATAAGAAGCTCCGTAAAAGTTTATGATACCGCATAGGGTGCAATGAAGATAACATGTTAAAGGGACTGTATGTGTAGTTTCAAGTGATCTTCCATTTAAAAAGGAGCAGATCCCTGATTCACAACGGTACCCTTTAAACCTGTGACTAATGAAGGAGGTTGGACATATCTATATTAATCTACTGGAACGCTGTTAATTGCTAAACACTTAGTTTGCTAGCTGTTTTGTATTAATAAATACTAGAAAATTAAAATTTTCTTTTACATAGAATTAGAAAATTACACTTTGTGGAAGTTCCTTTTAAAATTTATTCGTAATAAAAATGGCGCTGACTTCTGAGGCTTTTAACATTTGTATTTATATATTATTATAAAATGTATTCACACGCACATCTCTACATAGATATATTTATTGCGTATTCAAAACTTTCTTAACAAAATTTGCATGCTGTTGGTTCACAAAAATGTAATTATTGTACTAATTGTTCACGGTTACACCACATATAGTGCACATAGAACCACAGGTCCTGTTTTGCTCGGAGTCATGATACCAGAGTTACCGATTGGGAAAAAGAAATCCAATCTAATAAGCATGATTTTAAGAAAAGCACACACATATAATCATGTCATTTAATGCGATTAGGAATTTCTATGAGAATAGTTGGCTACTTAATAAATAAAACAATGCGTACAACGACGCAAAAGAATAAGAGAAAATCAACATTGTTGTGCAAATTTTAAATCAGGGAAGTTCTGGGAATCATTGAGCCCGTGCAATAATATTTTTATATTGCGGAATTGAATAAAAAAATTTTGTTTATGAAAACAATTTCAAAACATGTTGTCAGTTTCTATCACTTGGCAGTATGTTAACCCTGAAAAGTCGGCCCAGGCCAAAATAAGCTAAATTTCATGTAAAAGCCCAGCCAATTAGAGTTTGACATTAAAATTTACATGTACGGGGTCGGAAGGCTATGTCTACTATGGTGAAACAGGATGGATATCGCTATAAGTTACATGACTAGGGGTGAGGAGAAGCCAGCTTATATTATAGATTATATAGTCTTATGTTGATATTATCTAACCAAGGAACTGATTACTCTCCTTAAACTCTATAACTTACATTTCCCTATATCTTCGAAACCTGATGGTGTTAGCCTTTGATATTTCAATCCTTAACTATTCTATCAATTAGGATTAAAGGTTTGAAATATCTAAGGTTTTACGACACCAGGTTGCAAATATACAAGAACCATAAAGGAAATGAGTCTTTGACACAACCCCTGATTTTATACTCGCTATCTTTGCAATCCAATGTCATAGACATTAGATATTTCGAACTATGAATTCTGATAGATCAAATAATCTAAGTTTGAAATATCAAAGGTTGGCATCATGTAGTCACACAAATAAAGGGATTAGAAAAATTAAGTTTGTGGCAAAGCCTCAATTCCTTTATAGAGAATGCAAATATAAAGAGATTAGAAAATTCGAGGCTTGTAATTTCATGTCATTTTTTTCAGGAGGTCGGTCACAGCGCTGGTCCAGTTAACTCCGGGTCCTCAGTTCATCTGATCTGTATTGCTGAAGGAGGGAAACCTTCTCCAACCTTGCTGTGGCACAGGAACAATCTCCTAATAGATTCAAGCATGGAGGAGAAGGGAGGACAGGTTCGGAATGAGCTGATTATCCCTCAGGTTGGAGAGAAGGAAGCAAAGGATAGTTTCTCCTGTTCTGCTAGCAATAATAATATAACCCAACCTCTAGGCAAATATCAATACTTGGAGAAACTGTATAAATACCAAAATATTAAAACAAAAAATCCTCTTTCTCTTCTGAAACAGATTAAACTTTTTTTTGAAAATTCCTCATGGCCCTTATAATTACAAAGAACTATCAGAGGATCAGTCAAATCGGCATTTAACTTTGTTTTTGACCTATAACTCAACAAATGTTCCAACGTACCTCACTAAAATTTTTTAACAACTGTTGTTTTTGATAATATTAAGTTTAAATCTGCTACTAGCATTTTAGGGCGCTTCGCGTCTATTTTTCTAGCCGTCATCTTACCTTTGTACATCGCAAAACTAAATGTTTTGCGTATTTTTCTGTTTACATTGATAGAATTCCAAAACTTCTGAATCAATATTTTGGAAACATTTTCAATTTCAATTGGTCAATAACCTTTCAATGTGAATTACTACAAATAAAATTGAGACTCTTCGGTCGTTTGGACGTTTATTGGAAACAAACAAACAAAACAAACAGACAAGCTGAAGGAATTGAGTCTTTGCCAAACAAATCAATTATTAACCTGATGGTGTAAGCCTTAGATGTTTTATCTAGCAGAATATAGTCTGAAATATCTATGGTCTCGACATTGGGTTTCAGATAATAGGGACTAGAATATCAGAGTTTGTGGTAGAGACATAAGTCCTTTACATATATAAAAGTATATCTTGCTATGTATACTAGACCAAGGGTGTATATTTTTCTTGAAAAATTATTTTTCTTCCCCTTCCCCTCATTTTAAAAGTATATTTTTTTTAAAGTTTCATTTTAAAGTCGAATTTTTCATTTTTGCCCCAATTCATCAAAAATCAACCCCCCCCCCCCCTCACCCAATTCTGAAAAATATCCAGCTCTGAACTAGACTGAACTGAAGATTGAGTATTGTATTTCTCTAGTTCGAAGTTTAAGAATAGAAATCAACTTTCCTCCGAGTAAGGTTGAAATCTCCCAACTACCCAAGGATATATATGCTGGTAAAACACAATATATTAAATGCTCCGCCGTGGGTTCCTATCCCTCCGCCGCTATATCATGGTGGAAGGACGGCCAGTATTTACAAAGACCGGCGGAGACAAATGAAAGAAACGGAACTGTATCATATCTTTTTATAAAGTTTACTAGAGAAGACAACGGACGTATATTAACTTGTAGAGCTCAGAATCCTCTCATTGAAAACTCAGTGGTGGAGCAGAAAATCCGACTCAACATTCAATATTCTCCACAGACAGATTTACAGTTCGGAGCAAATATAAACCCGGAGAATATTAGAGAGGATCAAGATGTCTACCTGGAGTGTAGAGTAGACTCCAACCCTAAACTGAACAAGATACTCTGGAGTTTCAACGGGTTCCCCGTTCTATCCCGTAAGAACGTGATCATGTCCGGGATGAATCTAGTTCTCCAGGGTGTAAGACGGGATCAGGGTGGGAACTATACCTGTACTGTATCCAACCATGTCGGAGATGCTGTGAGTAAACCTGTATCTCTTGTAGTAAAACATAAACCTGTGTGTGCCAGGAATGGTAGTCTGGATCTCCAGGCTAGGTTCAAGGATGTGCTCAAGGTCCTCTGTCAAGTAGATGCTCATCCTTCTCCAACAAACTTCTGGTGGACGTTTAATAATAGTTTTCAGTTGGGGAAACTTCCTCAAGATCAATATGAGTTCAAGGGAGAGCAGAGTACTCTTATATACAAACCCATCCTACCCTCAGGTATAAATTATACTTCATCAGATTTATAGGAATTGGGTTTTGTTACAAACTCTGATTTTCTAACCCCTATATCTTTGCAACCCAATGTCATAGACCGCTGGTATTTCAAACTTTTAATTACGTTGGATCAAATATTGAAGGTTTACACCATCAGGTTTCAAGGATTAAGGGATTAGAAAATTTGACTGCAAAGACTCCTTTACCAATTTTTGAAATTACATCAAATTTTCTAATCCCAATATATTTGCAATCTGAAGGTGTAAACTTTAAATATTTCAAACTTAGCGACTGATTACTCGCTAATAACTTGAATTTTCTAATTCCTATATCTTTGCAATTAGACGGTGGAAACCTTTGATATTTAAATTTTGAATATTTGACCTCGCAGAATACAAAGGTATACAAAATCACAATACAATTTTACATGGATTAGAAACCTAGAATTGTAGGCAAAGGAATTGAGTCTTTGTCACAAACTATGATTTTCTAATCTATATATGTTAAGCCAATTTCCTGGAATGAAAATTTCAGATATAAAATGGCAATTTTCTTTGTAATCCAATGCCGTAGACCTTAGATATTTCAAACTATGAATTCTGTTAGATGAAAAAATTTAAGTTTGAATATCAAAGGTTTACACCATCATCATCAGGTGCAAAAAATATAGGTATTAGAAAATCAGAGTTTGTTAAAGAGACTCAATTCATTTTTAGTAAATTTATTTTTGTTTGTTTTGATTTCATTTAAAATAATATTTAGACTACGGAGTACTGAGTTGTTGGTCCTCGAATCCCCTGGGAACAATGGAGCAGCCATGCATTTACAATATCAAAAACATGGGAACAGAGCAGCGGACATTAGAGTGTAATTTGCATAATCAGACCCTTACATCTCTTATAGTTTCATGTACAGGGGAGGGGCAAGTACAAGAGAATAGTGTGTACCACCTAGAGGTAAGGGACAATGATGGCATGGGGGAGGGGGGGATGTTAAAAGAAGTTTAATGTTAAGGGCAAAAATATATTTAATTGTTTGACCTGACTCTGTGTTCAAAAATTGATAAAAACCGCGGGGCATTGTTTAAACAATTTACGCTAACCTAGATTATGTGCAGTAATCGGCATTTAAGTTTAAGTTTAAAAGTAAACAAAGAGAATCTTTTATTTGACAGCTTCTCTTTGTTCCAATGTTTATGTGTTACTCAAATTCTGTTTGAAACCTTGGTAGAAATCAAAATTTAAATTGAAAGTCGTCTTCATTATATTGTTATATAGGACGACGACTATTTCTCTCTATAAATTAAATTTTGTCCCTTTGGTCAGAATTGATGAAAAGTTGGAATTTGTTGAACTATGTACGGATAGTTTAGCTACTTCTTAATCTTATGTCAAATTATAAGTCGCAGCTTGCTGAGGAATAAGGGCCAAACTGCTAAATCCATGCATGAGCAGCAGTTCTGCTATCTATAAATAGCTCAGATACTTTTTTATACTGACCTACAACCCCTCTACAACCCTCCTTCTCTCAGTGAATTCTGAATTTCAAAACGTTTTAAGAATCCAAAACAGACTTGACGACATACATTGCTGTACATAGCTTTACATGATTTGAATTTTATAAAACTGTTAAAAATATTTGTTTAAAAAATGTTTTATGTAAATTTTTCCGTTCGTTTCTTTGATTCCAATAAACAATAAAGTCTGACGATATTAAAAACTTTTAAGGAGTAGCTAGCGTACTATTTTGTTAATAAGTATGGAAATGTAGCATAATTAAATAATATAAAGAAGAAAATTGTATAATTAGACATGAAGTGGGAAAGGAAAATTCAATTAGTAAATATAGAAGACGTCAACAAACCTAGTTAGTTCTTGAGCTTAGAAAACATTTTATTAATGTAGAAAAAACTAATTTGTTGAAGCACTTAACAATGAAAAAAAAAACATTTATTAACTCATTTTACAAATTTTTAATCCCTATATTTTTGTTTATATTTTTGAACATTTGAGTTTGAAGCTAGCTAGGATTTTAAAAAGGGTCTTGAATGAATCAATTTTAACCAAGAAAAGTTATTACTTTTAACAATTATTTATTGTTCAGTGCATTTTCTGCCCTTTCCGTTTAATTTGTGTTGTAAAATGCTTAAATATTTAATTTTAAATAAAATGAATGGAAATAATTATAACAGAACACAGAAATTGCAGTGAAAAAATTCGGAAAATCAATAAAAATCTACGATATTTCAGCAATTTAGAAGACCAGGCTTTTAGGGTACTTCACGCCCATCTTCAATTTCAACTTTTAACTGGGGTTCTTTCTATGAGCATCTTCTTTGTATAAAATGTATTTTTTTAAATAGTTCCTAGATTTAATAATATTTTTAAATTCTCAAAAGTTCATAAATATAAAATGTGGGCCCGATTTGACGTTTATCGGTTAAAAACAAACAGAAAGACAAGCAAAGCAAATATAGAATATTTGTATAAATTAAAAACAATTTTTTTTCTGATTTATATTTGAAGAGGTTACCCATTTAGTACAACCCGGAACAATTTAAAGTATTTCATTTCTTTTTTGGCCTTTTAATAAGGGACCATGTGACAATTCGATCTATAAAAAAGCTGGAAGGATTCTTTAACCACTCAGATTTTTCGGTCTTTGACTTTCGATCACCATTTGACCACTTAAACATCTTATACTTTTTTGTTGGCGGGTGCGTTTTAAATTAAAAAGTATAACACGACAACTCATAAATATGAAAATTGTTGAATTACTGCAAAATTAGCGATTAAATTCAAATTGAAATAAACCGAATTAATCCAAGGGTGTAACACTTAACAGTGTATTCCAAGTTTGGATTAAATTCAAATTGAAATAAACCGAATTAATCCAAGGGTGTAACACTTAACAGTGTATTCCAAGTTTGGATTAAATTCAAATTGAAATAAACCGAATTAATCCAAGGGTGTAACACTTAACAGTGTATTCCAAGTTTGGATTTGAGAAATTATCATTAACAAAAGTTACATATAACATAAACTGACCCCAACTTGCTTCATTTGTGTAAATTCAGGTTTAAAGAAAATATTTCATCAAATTAATTTACATGGTTAAGGTGAGGGAGAGAGAGGGAGGAGAACTGGTTCAAAATCTAACCTCAGACTCTCCTTGGTTCTTTATACAGGTAATATATCCATTATTGGACCTGCTGGGACCGAATTTAATGAATTGGAGAGGTCGCTCGGCTGAACTACCTACCTCCGGTTCAAATCATGAACCACCAATTTAAATTCTCTTGAATCTTTAAATTTAAATCGGTGGTTCCAGATTTAACCCGGAGGGGGCTAATTCAGCGAACTGGCTCAATTCTATTGAAGATCTTGGAATTTTTGTGTATTATATCGTTAATCTTGAACGCTTGGCCTCGATATAAATGGAAATCAAGACTAGTGATCCCGAGATTTGCTACACAAAAGTCCTAACAATTGGAAGTGTGTCAAAATATAGACTTTGTTTTGGATGATAAAAATTAGGTATCTAGACAAGGATTGAGCGTTAAAAGTTGTTAAGCCTAAAATTAGGGCAAAAGGTAAATAATAAAAATGATTAGGAAGATATAGATTTTTTTTGATTTTTTAAAATCATTTATTTAATCATTTCAAATGTCCCCCCTCCCCCACCATTACACATGAATGATGTTTTGCCCAGGATTCTTTGTTTTGATCTTCGCCTAGTGCCTACTGCAGTACACAGATTTGAGTCATCAGATATGGCGGTTCTTGGCTAAATGTGATGCTAAAGGCCAAGGGGCAAGGGCTTCAAACTTTGTATTATCTTATCACAAAAGTGATATTTTCATGTTATTGTATTTCTATTTATATATATATTTCGAAGACTGAACAGGTCTGGGTTGAAATCTCATGATATATTTAGTATTTTCACAAAAGAAAATGGCAAAATACAGGGTGTCCCTCAAAACATGACAGCTGAGCGAAGTCTTGAATATTGTCTTTGATCTTCATAATAATTTGCGGCATTATTTGTCGCCTACTTTTAAATGTATTGCTCTTAAAACAATAATAACAAAGCTCCCCTAGTCTAAATGTAATATGCATTTTTTTAACTATCAAAATTATCGGAGATATTAGGAATTTGGTTGATTTTTCAATTTATTGAATAAAAACAAAATTGTCAAATTCTGAACTAAATTCTCCTGTATTTTAAAAGAAGCAGACCTCATTTTGATAATGCCAGGATCGGGGGAATTTTTTTTATATTAATAATTCAAAATCAAGATCAATGAAAACAGCTTAAAGGAACTGAGTCTAAGCCACAAATTTTGATTTTCAAATCGCTATATCTTTGCAATCTGATGGTGTTAATCTTTGATATTTCAAACTATTATTTTCTGATCTAAAATAATTCATAGTTTGAAATATCTAAGGTCTCTGACATTGAAATGCAAAGATATGAGAATAAGATAATAAGATTTTGTGACAAAAACTCAATTCCTTTGTATGTTAACTGCCAGATGTTTCAGGGAACACTTTGTAACTAGTTATATATTACATGTAATATATAATAATGCTTAATGAGAATAGAACTAGGGAGTGGGGAGATGGTTAGCTCAGAAACTGATTTTATTGTATTTAAACACCGATGGCAAAATAAAATCTAATCCAACAGTATGTGTTAAAAACCTTTTCTAAAAGCAAACAGTGATATTGGTCCACACCACACTAAAAATATGCTAGTGGGTAGGTCAAATAGGCCAAAGATAGGCTGGGTTCTGTAAAATGTCTGGCCGCGCCATCAACGTTTAAACCGAGCCAGCATTGGATAGGGGTGGGCCGGTACTTGTCGTGTGTCACTAAGGCCGGTACAAGGTGTCGGCCCAGTTCGAATTTAAATGGATCCAAGTTCATCGTGACGTGCACCCTTTCCTCCTCTCCTTAGCTCTCATACTTATTGTTCACTGTAATGCGTCTTTTCAATTTATTTTGCCATGGTTCACTAAAACTAAAACAACATGAGTTTGCTGGACAAACACTTCCCACAAACTTAATTTTTTAGTATTTATTCTTGCAACCTAATGTCGTTGACCTTTGATATTTCAATTTAATTATAAATTCTGATAGATTAATAGACCTAGGTTTGAAACATCATAGGTTTACATTTGCAAGGCTATATATATATATGTTCATGAAAATTATAGTTCAAAGCAAATGTTCAGCTCCTTTGAGATTTTTGTAGTAAAATGACGTACAAACCTTTTTTTGAATTGATATTTCTTTGAAGTAGATCTTAGACGTGTAACTAGTGGAGAAGTTTTCTTCGAGGGTTCTTAACTTTTTATTAGAAGAACATATTAGCTAAAAAGTAAAAATATTAATTTATCTTTCTACAGTTTTATATTTACATCTATATATACTTTGATTGTCATGGGTGTTTATTGGTTTGTTTGTATCCAATAAACGCCAGAACAGCTGAACCGATCGGGCCAAAATTTTGTGTGGGACCTTACATGACCCCGGGGAATAATCAAAATTTCACAAATTCGGTTTTAGTTAAATTTTGAAAATCCACGAAATTTATTTGTAAAATCCGCGAACTTTTTTGTTTGTATTTCCGGTTTCGGATTCATCAAATACAGATTTCATGCACCGGATGAAAAATGAAAGTTCTATTAGAAACATTTAAGTTAAAGTAGTTTAATTCAAATATTACTGTAGAAAACAGAAGACAAAAGCCCGAAGGAGTTACGCGCATGCTGCGTTGAATTACAAAACATAGAGAGTGCATGCTCTTGCAGCGGCGCGATCGACCTCCTAGTCTGTCCTAGCACGGCGCTCGATCCTCTAGCTTGTCCTAGCCACATCGCTCGGCACAGAAGGTGGCTCAACCTAACAAAACCCTAAAGTATATACTAAACTCTCTCTTTCTTGTAATTCAACACGGCAAGCGCGCGTAACTCCTTAAGGCAACTGCCAACAAGTCAAGGTATTAGTATAGGAATATTTCTTTTACAATAGTGTCTCGCCTGGCACAAAAGTAAATATTTTAGGATTTTTAAAATATTCAGCTTTTGACACAAGAAAGTTAAATTTTACTCCTAACATTTTTATTTCAGGATTTGCCACCAGAGGTTTCAACATCCGGTCTCAACTTGACAGTGTACACTTCAGATCTTTCAGGAATAATTCTTTTTCAAGGATTTATCGGAATTCTTATTTGAAAAATAAAAAAATCAATTCTCACATTTGTTGTGTAATAATATTTTGGAGATTCCCACCAGCAGAGAGCCAGACGTAATCGGTTTCTTAAATCTAAATTCAATCGGGGTTTGGTCTATAATTCAACAATCTTTAAATTTGTATACTTTTTTATTTAAAATGCAACTAAAAAGTATAAACAACTGGCCACCGACACTCTAAACTCGCCAAATTTCATCTGTGCAAATCCCGAATTTCCCCATTCAAATCTCGTGTTTTTCTATCTTTAAAATTGCAGAAAAGTTTCAATTTGGGGCAATACATTTTCACAGTACAATTTTAATCTAAGAAGTATTTTCGAATTGTGTGATTAAGACGGGAAATTTTTGCTTTGCCCTTTTCATCCAATTCAGAAGAACTCGATAATATTTTTGCCATTTAAAATCAAAATAGAAATACTTTATAACACTATAAAGGTCTATCATTTAACGTTACATTCAATTCAATGATGAAGTACTTGAATTAAGGAATGAAAAATACATATTTTCAACCATTTCATCATAATTATTATTTTTTATGTATCGATGCTATAATACTAAAAAAACTTTTATAACAAAACAAATTTTCAATATTTTCTTAATATAAAACTTTAAGAATCTTTAGATTATTTTAGACCATGCGCTTATAAACACCCAACAAAAATAATTTAAACTTAACCCTAAACAGGTCGATTATAGGTTGGCAATAATTTAAACTTAACCCTAAAGACCTAAACCCTAAACGTAAATGCCTGATTTACAACAGTACCCTTAAACCGCACAGAGCGCACACTGTACGCAGCTGAATGCAATGCAATCGGGTTTCGATAAGTACACACACACATATCTCTGAACTCGAAGAGCACATGAAGGGTTTAAAGGTACCGTTGTAAATCGGATATTGCCCTCTTTCCATGAAGGCTCACTTGAAATTACACTTACAGTCCCTTTAATATTAAATAAAGCAGAATTATTGTTGTTAAGCGAATTGCATTTATTTACTGAATTATTTTCTGCATTCACTATTGCAAACCTTTAATGGATTGCTGATTTTCTATCACAGTTTCCCACGTTTTTATAATTTTCCATCTCTTAACTTAAACCTACCCTATCTCTCTTTCTTTCTTTCTTTCTTTCTTTCACATTTTCTCTCTTTCTCTCTTGCTCTCTGTTTCTTTCTTGCTGTCTTTCTCTCTTTCGTTCTTTCTTTCGTTCTTTCTTTCTTTCTCTCTTTCTCTCTTTCTCTCTTTCTCTCTTTCTTTCTTGCTACCTTTCTCCCTTTCTCTCTTTCTCTCTTTGTCTCTTTGTCTCTTTGTCTCTTTGTCTCTTTTTCTCTCTTTTTCTCTCTTACGCTCTTTCTCTTTTTCTCTATTTCTCTCTTTCTCTCTTTCATTTTTCTCTCTTTCTCTTTTTTCTCGCTTTCTCTCTTTCTCTATTTTCTCTTTCACTCTTTCTCCCTCTCTCTCTTTTTCTCTCTTTCTCTTTTTTTCTTTGTACAGATTATACTTTCTCTGTAAAAGGATTACAGTCTACAGCTTAAGAGATTATAAAAACTTTTTTCCTGACCACAGTTTAGAAAACCAGAAAATATTTAAAGGGACCGTTCACTTATTTGGGTAATTTCAGGGTAAAGTAAATAGAATATTAGCGATTGATTGGAATTGGTCTTACTTTTACTTTTTAAAGACATCCAGGGCCGAAAAAAAATGCTGATTATCGTTTAGAATTTCAGCGCAAAGGTATGATAGCTTTTCCTATCACTATTTGATGTTTTTTGTCTAAGTCATGGATTAAAAAAAATTAAATATTAAATTAAACTGTTGTAATAGTGAATTGTAAATGTCTTAATTAAAAAAATGTAACTCTCTATTTTTAAATCAACACTTTTTTAACACATCGAATTTTTGTATTGCTTCTGTAAAAAAGCTGAATAGAACGCGGTCTGAAAATACAAAATTGCGCAAAGAAATTGAGTCTTTGCCACAAACTCTGATTTTCTAATCACTATGTCTTTGGAACCAAATGTTGCAGACCTTAGATATTTTGTTGGATCAAATAATCTGAGTTTGAAATATCAAAGGTTTACAACATCGAGTTCTAAAGATATTGATCGGTTTAAATACTTGATGTTGTTCCAAAGACTCAATTCCTTTATAATAAAACAAAATTGGGTTACGGGTAGTTAAAAATGAATTAGACAATTGATTGAGGGGCGTAGGTTAGGAAGTGTAGATCGTAGGGCGGACAGTTTAAACCCTATAAATTACATTTATTTATTTAGATAGTTTTAAAACTCCGTGTATTTGACAAGTTTCCCCACCACCATATATTTATTCTGAAATATGCCCTGGGCCTGAGCTATGTTCGGACTGGGAGGGCAGGGGGGCGGGGGCGGGTGATGTGGAGGAGGGTTGTTAGAGTTGTTATGGCTCTTCCTGAAACAATCTTATTTCAATTAAGATCTGCTGATTTTCAGGTTTTGTAATTTATTTCATGTTGATTTAATTAAAAAAACCCGCTATTTCAGACTATTCACAAATGCTGATGCATCATACAAGTGAGATTAGTAAATCTTATTTATATCGAACGCGGAGTTGAATCTATGAGCCAAAATTGGGTGATGATTAATTGATTGTCGGAGGGAACGTCGTCTTTGTATAAACATTTTAACGTTTTAAAACGAAAAACGTAAATTTCTTGCAAACTCAAATATCAAAAGTTTTCATATTTTAGTTTATACTAGCTAACACATAATGGCATTAAAATATAATAATTTTAAATTTTCTTTGGCTGTTGTTACTGAAAAGCGTCTAATTTAGTGTATGAGGCAAAGGCATTGTACAGGGTGTCCCAAAAAACATGGGAATTCAGTGACGAATTCGATATCGTCTTTTTGAATAATTCTTTGATTTAGTATAGTGATACCTACTGAGAAAGCTGTAATCTGTAAGAGTTTCGTCTGCTATGTTTACAATTTGTTTGTTTATGTTTTGACTGCATACTGTTGTACTTAGTAAAACAAGGTAATAGCAGTATACAACCAGAGTAAACTTGTCCGTCTTCACTGTTCATCGTGCGGAGACGTTATAGACATATCTTTACAGTCTATTACCGTTTTCATAAAATAAACTCTAGCAGAAATAATAATATTATTGCTTTTGAAATTAGGTATTACAATGCTAATTCATAACAAAGACAATATCGAATTCGTCACTGAATTCCCATGTTTTTTGGGACACCCTGTACCTTTGCACTGGAATTCTAAATAATAAATCAGCAATTATCTCTGATAGGTAATACCAATACCAATTCGCATCTGATAGGCTGTTTAGTTTAACATGAAATTACCCAAACAAGTGAACGGTCTTTTTAAAAATTATGTTTTTTGGGGAAAAATAATTAATTATCTACCTTATAAACTACTTAACTTTTACATTTACATCTACCTTATAACTTTTACATTTTTCTAATTTATCATATTTCCCCTCCTCAGGAAATCTATGTTTTGCATGGGTCTAAACTCTAAAGGTGAAAATCTTTTTGCTTATGTAAACATTGAAATAAGTCACGAAAGTGCCGGAAATGTAAAGACCGGAAGAGGGGGAAGTCTAGAGGGACATTTTAATCAATTGGTCGCAACTTTTCTAGTCGAAGGGGGGACTAGAATTAGGTGACTAGGGGAGGGGGTGGGGTCAACTACTGACGGATGCAGAGTAGCTGCGGACAGGAAAGGTTTGAAAAGCATGAAATGTTTAAAGTTTAAATAGTAGGAAGAAATTAAACGCAGGATTTAGATAAGAAGTCAAGGGAAAAAGAATAAGTTGTAAATAATAAGAAAGAAGAAGATAAAAATGAAAGAATGAATTAGAACAGAGCATGGAAAAGTAAAGTAAAAAAAGATGAAAGTAAGAAAATGCAAGGACAAAGATGTGTAGTGAACACCTACTCCATAACAAGGTCTTGAAACGTATCTATCCAGGTACAATCCGTCCGCTATCATACTTAACCAGGACTGAATCCCAGGCTCTAAATGCCACACAGGGACACAAGCGTAGCTAACAAAATCCAGCTACTAATACAGTGTTCTATCAGGACAGAATCTAAGGCTCTAAATGCCACACTGGGACAAAAGCGTAGCTATCAACAAGCTATAAATCGATCCCAAATGATAGGGATGATCCGATGTTATAAATGTCACACAGGGACACAATCCACATGGCTACAATCCTGTGAACTATCAACGTCACTACATGGGGCGCGATCTTGTTAGCTATCGATGTCAATAAAGACACTAGCAATTAATTGATCAATGTCTCAAACAGGACACAATCCAACCAGCTACAATCCCGTGACTAATCAACGCCACTACCCAGGGCGCGATCTTGTTAGCTATCGATTTCAATACAGACACTAGCAATCATTTCATCAATGTCTTAACCAGGACACAATCCACATGACTACAATCCCATGACTAATCAACGCCACTACACAGGGCGCGATAACATTAGCCGGGTTTAGTTTCAGATTTGATCTCTTCAGGTTTGGAGGAGGTTGATCTTTCTTGCTGATCCGAGGTATCATTCCCAGAGCTTCCTGCTGATATTTGAGGGTCTAAATTATCTTGGGATTTCTCTTCACTCAGACTTTTCCCTTCCTCCTCTTCTTTTTCCTCCATGGATCCTCTCTGCTCTCGTTGAATCTTTAAAGCTTTGCTGATATTTTCTCTAGTTTTGTACCGATGTCCGGAGACATTATCTTGACCCCGTCTCTCTTTAGAATCGGATCTATTCTTCCTTGAGGGGCTTGTTTCTATGCTCTCTTCGGGACTTTCCTTTCTAATTGTCCTGCTGCTAAATCTTCCAATTCCTGGTCAGTAAATCTGCATATCAGGTCTTTCCTAATTTCGTTTTGTATTCAAATCCCGTTCTCTTCTTCTCTCCATCC